ATTTTCTTACAGAAACGAATACTTTCGACGATATGTTGATTTGAAATGTCGCGTGACGTCACTTTTATAGTACATTTTATACATAGAAATGACGTTTTAGCCCCCACTCCTAAACTTTGATTCGTTTTATCTAAGTATTGTTTTCTTATACAACAAAATAAATAAATACGTGTCTAATTAATATTTTTTTCATTACCTAACTGACGAACTAATTAGATTTTTAATTTTCATACCCTGTCATCATCCCAATTGGCGTTCCATAGTCTCATGCCTACCTCCAAGGGAGACGAGCGTAAGGTTATGTACATATGTTGTCCTTCACCGCATATCCCCACCACTGACAAAATAACTTCAATTAAATACCATTTACATGAAAATATGAAGCATGGCATGACCACTAAAAACACCATAATGGGTCCATTATTATACTATAAGTTGATTAGCTGTGTCAGTGGCTCGCTTACTACGAGGGAATATTAAGTTACCTGGCTGAGAGCCTCCTAACTCCATATAGACGCCATATAGTCTATAATTGCGTTACTCGACACAATCAATGTTCATGGCGATGGTAGCGAAGTTTATATATGTAACTAGCTACTTTCCCGCGGTTTCACCCGCTCTGCTCGGCTCCAATTGATCGTAGCGTGATGTTTTATAGCCTTTAGCATCATCAGCATAACCTCACGCCTTTTATCCCCGAAGGGGTAGGCAGAGGGGTACATTATGCCACTGTACAATGTAACACCCAGTTTTCACTATTAATGTTATGAGTCCCATGTAATGGGGGGTCCCATGAGCTTATTGCCATATACCGGGCACAATTCCAGACTCCGTGCTACTACTGAGATTTTTTTTAAAACCCAGTAATACTTTGCCCGACCCGGGAATCGAACCCGAGACCCCTTGCCCGACAGTCGCACTTGCGACCACTCGGTCAACGAGGCAGTTTTCGTATAAATATATTATGTTCTTTTTGAAGTCGATAAAAAAAATAGTCACACACAAATAATTTATAATTTATATTGTGACTAATTTTTGACATTTTATTAATTATTTATGTTACAATTTTGAATGTGATGAATATTTTTATACTTTAAATAGTGTATGCCTAATGGGCAGCTTTTTGCGCTACTATAATAATAATTTTAAGACCCTTTTGTATCACCAAAAAGCACACGAATAAATACTTTGACAAAAAATCACTATACTAACACTACACTACACTCCAATTCGTAGCACTCTGTACCTCCATACCTCCGGAGTTTGCTGAAACACAATGAAAATTTCATTACAAAAGTTTCAGCCTCTACCGCCCCACTCCTATCTAAATAGCTTTTAAAACCTTCGATTGTTCGTGACTGTAGTTTTGGTACACACTAAGCGATTTTCTGTTGCTGGTTAAAGCGATTTTTTTGTTGCTTGCCACTAATTCTTTTTACTCGATATTGTCAGGTCTCTTATTTTCTAGCTTGACATCAACGATTGGGTAGTTGCCAGGGTATCAAAATTAAAAATCTAATTAGTCCGTCAGTTAGATAATGAAATAATATTAGACACGTATTTTTTATTTTCTCGTATTAAACTGCAATACTTAGATAAAATGGCGCTAAGTTTAGGAGTGGGAGGTCGTTACGTCATAACGTGCTACAAAATGTGACACGCTGTGACGTCACACGACATTTCAAATCAATATATCGTCGAAAGTATTTAATTTTGTGAGAAAAGAAAAAATACGTGTCTAAAGTTTTAAATTAATGTACCAGACGGACATTATAATAAAATATAGGAAACCACCCTATTCGTGATTGTTCTTTACTGGACTTACAGGTTTTCTCTACATCAGGGCTGTCCAAACAAAGGCATGGCTTGTTTTCATGTGGCCGGCGACATACATTTTAATCTCAACATCTTCATCGTATGTGCAACAACAATACTAAAATTGAGTGCATGATTTGTATGCAAGTTTAACCTATGAGTAAAGAATACAATGTTAAATGTCATTATACAACTGAAGATGTGTTTTTGGTCATCCAGATTCTGTAAGAAATTATAATATGGCGCTCACGTAATAATATGCATACTGACACTTATGTTACAAGAACAAACAAAAAAACAAAAAACAATCAGACGAACGTAGTACCTCCTACTTTTATTGAAGTAGGTAAAAAGGAAACTCTTTAATTCAATAAAGAAAGAGATGCTCGATGCCAAAGAAGTTTTACTGCACGCTGTCGCGGTAACTGGGCAACTGACTGCCACGCAACGTGTCGCGGGTTCGATTCCCACACGGAACAACTCTTTGTGTGGTCCACAGATTGTTGTTCCGGATCTGAGTGTCATGTGTATGTGATATTCTATGTTTGTAAACGCACTGACGATACAAGAGAAAATACTAGTGTGGGTCTTTAAAAAAAAGTTGTGCTATCGCCCAACTATCGCCAGCAACAATCGCTCAGTGTACCACTAAACTTACGTATTTGAATTCCTTTTTCTATTTGCGTTTGTTCTCTACTTTCAGCTTTGCGATCCATTGATTAGATATAGTTGGAATGTGCTGGGGTTATTTACACTCTTATTTACGCAAGGGGGTAGACAGAGGTGTTCGTTTTTGTATGTTTTCGTTGATTGTTTTTATAGTAGTGTGATTAAAAGTCATTTGTCGAACCTTTCCTAAATTTTAAGGAAACTCTAAGTTAATATTAGTGATATTTTATTATAACTACTTTGGTTAACCTAGTATAAGTGACATCTAACAGTGCAATGAGGGGTTAGATTAGTTTAGCTGCTACGTTACGCTAAGTAACTCTTAGTTTGGACATGGTATAGAGGTGGCTGATGTTAACAGCAACAATTTTGACTGTTAAGAATGATAGGGTGTTAAATTGTGGGAGAGTCATTCTTGATGAATGGGCCGGCTCGACCGGAGTGATACCACGGCCGAGCAGAAAACCGACGTGAAACAATGTGTTTCGTCGTGTAAGTAAGGTTACTGGAGGTCCATTTCTATCCCCATTGAACCCTGAGCCAGGTACAAGCTGGATTCTATTTAGGGAATAGACTTTGATTGCCTCGTTGGCCGAGTGGACGTCAGTGCTATTGCGGGGCAAGGGCTCTCGGGTGCGATAGGGGTCGGGCGATATTATTGGGTTTTAAAGAAAATCTCAGTAGTAGCATGTAGTCTGGAATTGTGCCCAGTATGTGGCAATAGGCTCACCCTAATAGAGTAATAGTATAATAACCTAATAGGGTATTACGTGGGACTCATAACATAAATAGTGAAAGTGGGTGTTACATTGTACAGTGGCATTAAGTGCCGTAATGTGCACCTCTGATTACGTCTTCGGCGCTAAAATGCGTGACGTTACGTCATGTGGTAGAAATGTATTATTCGACAGTTAAAATTTACTTGGCGTTTGAAAAATAGACCCCACAACTTAAAATTGAGTGATATTTGAGTATTACAATATTAATAATCCGATTCTCAAAACAGAACTACTTCTAAATCACTCTTACACTTAATTTAAGCACCTCTGCCTACCCTGTAAGGATATAAAACATTGTTATTTCATACATAATCAGTTAGTACATCGCCCTGGAGTTTACAAAGAGCACCAACCTCTTGCAAAGTCCTATCGATCCGTTCACGTTGTGTGAATTCTTGTTTTTGTTATTTGCTTAAGCTCTTTGATACAAATGTTAAACAAAGAAAGTCATTTTGAAGTCGAAATGAAGATTTTTGCTTAATCCTTAAAGTGCGACTGCCAGGCAAGAGGTCTCAGGTTCTATTCCCGGGTCGGGCAAAGTATTACTGGGTTTTTAAAAAATTCTCAATAGTAGCACGGAGTCTGGAATTGTGCCCGGTATATGAGAATAGGCTCACCTCCTATTACATGGGACTCATAACATACATAGTGAAAAGTGGGTGTTACATTGTACAGTGGCATATTGTGCACCTCTGCCTACCCCTTCGGGAATAAAAGGCGTGATGTTATGTTATGTTAATCCTTACACTTGGATTTCTTCAAGGCTTAAGTGAATATGTTACTTATGTGTGTGATCTATAGAAGGCCGCATTATCGCTTATTACCAGGCGAGATGGTGGACTCACAATAAGAGAGAGCCATGCTTCGGCACGAATGGGCCGGCTCGACCGGAGTGATACCACGGCCGAGCAGAAAAAAGACGTGGGATAACGCTTGTGTTGTGTTTCGTCGTGTAAATGAGGTTAGCGGAGGCTCAATTAAGCTACGGGTTGCCGGGGCTCCAGCTCGAAGTGCTAGAGTAGGAACGGGATAGTTTTAGTCAGTAAGAGTCTGACACTCCCTTTTGCCTCACTCGGGTGGGAGAGGACATTGGACGATTTTCGTCCTGCCAAAAAAAAAACAAAATAAATAAAGAGTTTATATTTCAAAACATTATGTAAAATACCACAGTGTGTAAAATTTTCTAATTTATAGGGACACAATAACTTCACTGGATCCAGTCACACTCGGAGATTTCTCTAGAGTAATATATTATACGGATGAGGTAAAACAAATAAACAAATTGTATTTTAAATTCATATTTATATGAATGTAGAAAGGATGGATGAAAGTAGAGTAACGAAAGAAGTATACAGAGCGGATATGAATGGGGCCGTCGGTAGAGGGCGCCCTAGACGGACATATAGTGACCAGATTGGCGATATATTAAAGAAGGGCCAAATTAAAAGTACCCTTAACCGACGAGCATGTATGAAAAGATTGATGACTGTTAATGAAGCGAAAGAGGAATGTAAGAATCGTAGTAATTGGCGTTCCTTAGTCTCTGCTTACCCCCATGGGAGACAGGCGAGAAGTTATGTATGTATGTATGTATTTATATGAATGAATTTCCAGAGACAGTTATCATGATACCCACGCGAAGAGCAGAGGTTGTGCAAATATATTCTACCCTGTCATCCCCACATAGCATTTGTTATCTAACAACAAATAGTAATAATAGAATGTCATTTGTTTCAGATGGACAATCCCTGAAATCGGTAAGTTTTATGACAAATATATAATTGAACTAATTTAAATCATTGTAACTCTGTGTCACCTCTACCACAAAGCTTTTTTAAGCTACTGTCATTTATTATGACTGCCTCGTTGGCCAAATGGTTGTAAGTGCGACTAACAAGGGGTCTCTGGCGCGATTTCTGACTCTAGCCAAGTATTACCTACTACTTGTTTAAAAAAATCTCAGTAGTAGCTCGAAGTCCGGAATTGTGCCCAGTATATGCCAATAGGCTCACCCCCTATTACATGGGACTCATAACATAAATAGTGAAAAGTGGGTATTACATTGTACAGTGGCATTAAGTGCCGTAATCTGCCTACTCCTTCGGGACTCGAATCCGAGACCTCTTAGCCAGTCGCATTTGCGACCACTCTGCCAACGAGACAGTCACTAATTTGATAATAAACTTATTCAAATATTTCAGTGGTATTAATAAATCTCTTGAGATTGAAAAAAAAGTCTAGATCTTTTAGAACAAAGCCTAGCCTGGAATTCAGTCTAGATCGTTTTCAGATTGAATTCCTTTGTTTTCAGCGATGGCTTAGGTATTGTCTGTCTTGTATATTAAAAAAGAAAAATTGTAATTCGTTTTGTTTGTTCTACTAATAATATTATAAATATGAAAGTTTGTGCATTTGTGCCTAAAGGGATTTGGATGAAAATTCGATCAGGGATAGATTATGGTCTGGAATATTACACAGGCTACTTTTCATCATGCGAGAACGCCGGCGTAATCACGGGCAATATCTAGTAATAAATAATAATAATTTATCTTGTAATTCATGACCCTTATATACAACCTACATAGGTATATAATATTATTTAACCTTACTACGCAGCTTGTAGACACTGTCTACGCAACGCCTACGACACTCGTAGTCACCGGCTACGCGCCTCCTACGTAGCGCGTAGTCACTGCTACGCACGGCCTACGCGGCATCTACGCATCGCCTACGCGAGGTTAAGAAAATAAATATTAAAATTACAATTTCTTCCAATTTGATTTAATAATTTTCTTCATCAATCTCCATTCGTTATTATGAAGACTCTATTATATTGTTAAACAATATTTAAAATTAGCAAGTTGAAGTGGCAGTGGGCAGGGCACATAGCGCGGAGAACCGATGGCCGCTGGGGCAGAAAGGTTCTCGAGTGGAGGCCACGTACCGGCAAGCGCAGCGTAGGACGTCCATCCGCAAGGTGGACAGACGACCTGATCAAGGTCGCTTCCAACCGGTCTATCTTGAAGTCGTTGGTCTATGTTCAGCAGTGGACGTCCTGTGGCTGATATGATGATGATGATATGATGATTTAAAATTATAATTACGAGACCATATCGACGGCATACACTAAAGTATGATCGCTTCATTGCTTACCACTAGGCGAGATAGTGGATAAACAAAGCCCGTCAGATAAAAAAAGCAAGCGTTCTCTTCTTCTCTATCGTTTCGCTCTTGGCAGAGCGGTCGTGGTCACGTTGAGGCGGCCATATTTGTGTTTGAGGCCGATACAGCTTTCCTCACGATGTGCCGCCATGTCTCCCTGTTCGTGAATTGCCTGGCACAGTCTGACACTAGGTTTTCTGTAGCCGATTTGCGAATCAATTATATATGATTTGCGAATCAAGCGTTACTATCAATGAGCACCTCTGCCTGCCTCTTTAGGGTATGAAAGGCATAATACTATCCCATACAAGAGCTAAACCTACCACTGTCTGTCTCATTATCCCTAAAAGCCTCCGGCCACTGAAACCGTTTGTTTTCATAGCTGAAAGTTTATCTGAAATAGCCTTCAGGCTACTTAGTTATAACAAATTAAATATTGTTGCTATAGTAGGCTATATTTTATAGCCACCGGGCTATTTAACGTGGATCCCTTGTTTTCAGACTTTTAAGTCTAGTTTACATAGATTGTTTGATTTTTTAGTTTATTCTGTACTAGTGACCCGCCCCGGTTTCGCACGGGTACAATATGCATATATTATACATATAAAACTATCTTAAGTATCACTCTATCTATTAACCCTTTGAGTACAGTCATTATAGACACAATTAAAGAACAATAGGTGTGCGGACACCGGTGTCCCGGTGTCCTCGCGGTATTTGACAGTTTAAAGAAACCGCATCAAAATCCGTTGCGTAGTTTTAAAGATCTAAGCATACATAGGGACGGACAGACGGCGGCTAGCAACTTTGATTTATACTATTACTATATAGTGATTTACGTATAGGATGTGAATTAAAAGAAAGTCTTTCAACAATGAATTTTGTAATTTTTAATTGTCTGACTGTTGATGAAGCTAAAGAGGTATGTTAGAATCGTAGCTATTGGCGTTCCATTGTCTCTGCCTACCCCTATGGGAGACAGGCATGAGGTTATGTATGTATGTATGAATTTTCTAATTCTTAAATGGTATGAAGCATTATTCATGAGTTTTATCTCAGGTTCGTAAAGAGATATCCAGAGCTGTAGACTGCCTAAAGAGTTGCCGGGGCTCCGGCTTGAAGAGCACGGGTAGGAACAGGGTGGTTTTTAGTCAGTAAGAGTATGACACTCCCTCTCGCATAACCCAAGGAAGAAGAAGTCCGTATGATTTTCCCACCTCTAAAAAAATGGTCCAGCAATACGTAACCAAGTTGTTTCACACTTTTAGCTTCCATTTGCCAACTGACTCAGCCACTGGCATCTCCTAACTCTAGCATAAAAGATTTTTCGATAAGACTTGTACATTTTGGCGCCATTCCAATATTTAGTTCATTGAAAATAGCTTCAGGGAAAATATGTATTTTGTTGGATTTCTGCTGAAATGCACTATTTATGAAATATAGTAACTGGGGAATGTGCGATTTTATTTTGTTTTTTATTATTTTTATTAGTAAACGAATCACCCGATGGTAACCAATCGGCGTCGCTCATGGACACCTAAAACACCGGAGGCATTACAAGTGTGTTACCGGTCTATTGGGGATTAGGAATTTGAGGATTGTTTGAGATTCACGGATTGGGGTTGGGGAGCGGGGGGGAACGGTAATTAGGCCTGTCTTTTTATTCAAATGGAATTATTACAATTGGTGTTATAGTTTTGGAAGGTTTTTTTTATGGGACAAGTTCAATCTCTTAAACCCGCTGCAACTCCTGTAAGCCAGGATCTACAGTAGATACAACCATGAAAACACCGGAACACTAAAGACCGGCAGTCTAGAATGTCGGTGACGGTGTCTTAGCACTAATTCGTCTCAGGGACATGAATAACGGTCTCGGTTCCCGCAACGAAGTGAATCAGAAGATATTATAAGAGGAGAAGAAAGCAAATGATAGTTTCTACTTCCCTCGGTGAATTACTGCAGGAGACAGATTTAGTTAAGCAAGCATTGAAGCAGGAGAAGAGGGTGATTTTTGGTGACACTCTCTCGTCTCATTGATGACGGGAGAACAATTTGATTTTTTTTATTGCATTAGCCGGTAAACGAGCAGACGGATCACCTGATGGTAAGCAATCGGCGTCGCCCATGGACACCTGGAACACCAAAGACATTACCACAAGTGCGTTACCGGCCTTTTGGGGATTAGGAGTTTTAGGAACGTTGGGGATTCAGGAATTGGGGAGATTGGGGAAGGGGAGGGTAATTGAGCCTCCGGTAACCTCACTCACACGACGAAACACAACGCAAGCGTTGCTTCACGTCGGTTTTCTGTGAGGCCGCGGTATCACTCCGGTCGAGCCGGCCCATTCGTGCCGAAGCATGGCTCTTCCACACTTAAATATTCTCATAAAACATAGCACACACCACTCCAGGCTTCATGTGGCGTTTTTTTTTAAGGGGGGAAAATTATCGAATGACTGCTCCCGCCTGGGTGAGGCGGGAGGGAGTGTCAGACTCTTACTGACTGAAAACCACCCCGTTCCTTCTCCTGCACGCTGAGTCGGAGCCCCGGTTACCCGTTAGGTTCTCCGCGACTCCGAATCGGAGGCTTCATGTGGCTACTGTTCAATTTGAGAAAATCAAATTTAACCAAATAACACTTAAATTTACCGAGAAATAAAGTCCAAGATCCCTCGCTCTGTATACGTGCTTACAACCACTAAATACAACGACACATTTTACAATTAAAATACAATAAAAATGCATATACTTGTACATATTTAATCGCCATCCTTACTAATATTATAAATCGGAAAGTGAGTTTGTTTGTTTGCTCCGATTTCACGCCGTAACTACTAAACCAATTGCTTTGAATTGCAAACGTAAAGTTAGAAGTCTGGATTAAATAAAAGGGTACTTTTTATCCCGGAAAAATTTGATATTCCCGAGGGAAAACATTATTGGTATAGATGGCGCTGTATGTATTAGTATATGTCACATAGGCTACTTTTTATCCTTTTGTGACGCGAGCGAAGTCGCGGGTAAAAGCTAGTGAAAAATAAATAAAACCGTACATTACAGGAACTGTAAAAAACATACATCGCACGCAAACAGTTGTTTATTTATAAAAGCGAATGTGTTTTTATACTGCTATTGATTTTTATATTTATTTACATTTTGCATAACATAACATAACATCACGCCGTTTATCCCGGAAGGGGTAGGCAAAGATGCACATTATAGCACTTAATGCCACTGTGCAATGTAACACCCACTTTTCACTATTTATGTTATGAGTCCCATGTAATAGGGGGTGAGCCTATTGTCATATACTGGGCACAATTCCAGGCTCCATGCAAGCAAGCAAGCAATTTTAATATCACACAGTAATCGTAAACAAAGCCACAGGTGTATGCCAGTCTATTTAGCAGTTTGAAGCTTAAAAACAGGTACACTGTAACAAATAGGCTTAAAAAACCGCTTGCTACCACAATGCTGGGTCAGTTTACAAAAGAATAGCTGTTTTTTGTTCAGCGGTTTTTATATATAGGTTTGTGGGGATTTTTTTAAATGGGATTTAGGTGTTTTTGGGGTCAAATATATCTGTTAATATTAC